ATATATATATATATATATATATATACACATATATATACATATATATATACATATATATACATATATATATATATATATATATATATATATACATATATATATATATATATATATATATATATATATATACATATATATATATATATATATATATATATATATATATATATATATATATATATATATACATATATATAGATATGTATATATATATATATATATACATATATACATATATATATATATATATATATATATATATATATATGTATATATATATATATATGTATATATATACATATATATATTTATATATGTATATATATATATATATATATATATGTATATATATATATATATACATATATATATATATATATATATATATATATATGTATATATATACATATATATATATATACATATATATATATATATATGTATATATATATATACATATATATATATATATATATATATATATATATATATATATATATATATATATATATATATATATATATATATATATATATATATGTATATGTATATATATATATATATATGTATATGTATATATATATATATATATATATATATATATATATATATATATATATATATATATATAAAATATAGCTACTTTAATTTTTTATTTCATTTTTTGCTAACTAACCACATCATAAACAATTCCTAATTTAAATAAAAATTTCGAGCTTTTTTCGAGGCAAAATTAGATATTACTTCATCATATGACAATGATTTCGCGAGATCATTTTCAATAGACAACGCCATAAGATTTGAAAGTCACTCTTGTCCCATGGTGGCTCTGAAGTGGTTTTTTATAATCTTCAGTTTACTAAAAGATCTTTCACCCTCTGTAACGGATATTGGCATTGTGTGGAAGATGCGCAAAAGTATGCATATCGACGGAAAAGTTGGTGGCAAGCCTTTGGAATATATTTGATTTAAAAGATTGAGATAGTTACCTTTACTGAACAAGGACGGTGCTTTCAACCGGTCAAAGTGGCAAATTTCCTCAATAAGATCGTCTTCTTTAAGGTTTTGAAAAAAATTTGACGAGCTTTGTCATCTTGTGAAGAAGGGTCTTCAGACTGAAGCCAGATAAAGGAAAACTGAGAAGAAACCTTTTTCACCACATTGAACCTTAACTGAATTTGTAGAACTATGTGGTCCAATGCCACGTTGAAAATATTTACTTCAAAATTCTTTTCTGTATCGTCGTGATAGTGGGCTGTATTTGATGGTTCCTCGTGGAATTTTTTCACTCTTCTTGTGCGTTTTACATATTCTGTTTCAAAGCCTAGGTTTCCAGCCACTAGCTTTGCTTCAGTCAAAATACAATTCCACGACGAACGAATGCGACCTAGGTCATCTAGAAGTAGTTGAATGAGGATGACTTCTTCTTCAATGGTGATTGACTCCGACTGGAGACATCGGCTAACATTATCAATATTTTGCAGTGTCTTATACCAAATGGTCAGAAGAACTACTGATTCAAATGACTTAAAATATTTGCCCAACAACTTCGTTTGATTCAACATGTCCGCAGTTAGGTCAAGTTGATTAACGGTTCTATCCAGAGCAGCAATGATTTCTCGTGGTTTTTTGACTAAAGGTTTTACAGCTGTTATGTGGGCTGACCATCTAGTATCTGAGAGATTGTGAAGTGATAAAGCAGTTTCTTTGTGAAGAATTTTCCATCTTGCTGGGCTGCAACTAAAGAACATGTAGAGAGCTTGGATATTGCCAAAAAAAGTTTTGATCTCAGCGCAAGACTCAGCAGCATGAACTCCAGCTAAATTTAAACTATGAGCACCGCAAGGAATGTATAAAGCGAACGGATTTTTTTCCAGTATATGAGCTTGGGCTCCATTATAGATTCCAGCCATATTAGAACAATTGTTTTATCCTTGGCATTTCAATTTTTGTAAATCGAGATTCACTTTCGCTAAAACGTTGCAAATTAAATAAGCAATATCTGCACTTTTCTTTTTCTCCATATCTTCAACGCAGAGAAATTGTTCTTTAACTTCCCAAATCATATTACCCGAGTTGAATCGCACAAATCGAAGAATAAACATGATTTGTTTTGTGTGAGATACATCTGGGGTCCCATTGGTAATTATCGTAAAATATACGGCATCTTTTACTTCTTTCACAACTGCTGCTTGAACTAATGTAGCGCATTCACTGATAAATTCGTTTTGTGATTGCCAGGAGAGATAGTGAGCTTGCATTCTGATTCCTTTATTTTGATGACGTTCAACTGTTTCAAGATGATTCTTTAATGTTTCGTTGTGACGAGAAATAAGTTCAAGGCAACTTAAAGTTTCCTTTCTTGTTCTTCTCCATCGACGAACATTGCCCTAAAACAATGTTTTCTAAGTTAGTTAAATGTAGATAATAGTAATTCTGTAATACTAAAAATAAGAACTTATTCTTAAGTATTTAGAGTTCTGGCCTAGAATATTTACCTCTAAAGGATAAGTTTTGAGATATTAAAAATAAAATTGCATCTAAAATACAACGAAGTATTTCACGCCATCTGGCTACTTCCTTTTCTAGTGCCTTTTGGAACTCTGAGTCGATCCCGAGCTGATCGACAAGAGCTGAGTGCAAAGTCTTTCAATTGAGATAATGACTTTGATGAACTGAGTTGCTATAATGACTTTTGATACGATCACTCAATTTTCTCCAGTCATTTTTTATTCCTCCATTCCAGCGAAGAAGAAGAGAACGATCCCCATAGGATCCGGAATTTTCACACCCAAATAAAGAACACGGGAAACAAATAAGAGAGTTAGACGATGGGCTCCATATCAGATAATCTCGTTGAACTTTTTCTCCATTAGGCAATGCAATGAAAAGAACTTCTTTTGGAAAGGCCCTGTTATTAGAAGCATCTCGTGGGAAATCATCAGGTAAAGTTGACGGACCTTTTTTGATTAACTCTTCTTTTTCTCTTTGCTTAAGAATCGATGGCTAGAGTGCTGGATCATTTTCAACGCCTGAATTAATTAAAATTATTAGAAGCATCTCGTGGGAAATCATCAGGTAAAGTTGACGGACCTTTTTTGATTAACTCTTCTTTTTCTCTTTGCTTAAGAATCGATGGCTAGAGTGCTGGATCATTTTCAACGCCTGAATTAATTAAAACCTAATTAATACTTAATTAATTATTTAACTATTTTGAATTATTGTTTGTATAAAAACCTTTATTTTCTTCGGGTTTTAATTCATAGTTAAAACTGTCGTCTGTTTCATTTTCCACTGAACTAAGAGAATGTAGATCAACATCATCATAATACGATGATTCCATTGTTTGTTCTGATTTATTTAATTCCGCCGACTTAAAAAATGTTTAACTATTTTTCTTAAATTGCTTCGGAAATAAAAGAAATATATTTATTGACCTATATATTTCTACTAACTCACCTTCAAATCAGTATTTTGATTAGTAGCTTTGTAAAACCAACCTAATTCTTGGAGCGTTTGTTTATTTTTTTCACAGTCTTTTGCCCTATTGGAAGCCAATGCCCGATTTTGGGCACCAGAAAGTTTTTACGATTCATTATCAACAATTACTGTAAATAACAGTACGCATCAATAAAATAATAGCCAACTCAAATACGCAAACTCATCAAAAAATAATAAACTCAAAAAGCTAATGTCATAAATCAATATTTCAATAGTTAAATATAAATAAATCGTAAACATGAAATACCATAAATAAGTCGATCATAACGAATATTTGAAAAATAATTATTTTTTTTTTCTAAATTTTGAATAAAATTATTTCTAAATTGTATTCACAGTTTGCTTTTGCTAATTATCAACGTTTGCATTTTTTTTACTTTAGTCTGATGAATGCAAAAATCTCAAGGGACATTTTTAATTTAATAGCGTATGGAATACGAAATCGATGATGAGTTCGTATTTTTATATAACTTTTCGAGGAATAAAAAACAATGATATAACGCGAGTATTATATAATTTTAATTATAGAATTTTAAGAATAAAAAAACTATTTTATTTTACTTCGGCATCTAGCGCCCCATGGACATCTGCCGCCCGGGACAAACTGTCCTGGTGGCCCCCCCTCCTATCGGCGGCCCTGATAAAATATGCTATGACTTTATAAGGGTTTTGACTGTTATAGGGAACTCGTAGAAGACTTAGATTAGTCTTATCGTCGAGAACCTTGGGGTATTGCGTAAAGTACACATATAAACATTATGATTCTCATAAAACAAATATTTTAAATGTTATTGACGAATATATAGAAACAAATATATGGGAAAGCGGAATAGTATCGAAAATAAACTGATCGAAAAAATGATTAGTATCGAAAAATAACTGACCGAAACTCATTTTAATGATTAAGATCGAAAATGTGATTTTCCGATTAATATCGAAAAGCTTTTATATTGAAATTCACAAACTTGTAACAATATCGAAAACAATAAAAACGGAAAAAGATCGAAAACTCATTTAACTGATTAACATCGAAAATGTGATTTTCTGATTAATATCAAAAAGTTTTTATATCGAAATACACAAATATGGAACAATATCGAAAACAATAAAAAAGGAATAAGATCGAAAACTCATTTTAATGAATAACATCGAAAATAAGATTTTCTGATTAATGTCGAAAACAATAAAAACAGAATAAGATCGAAATTAGGGTGATGTTAATCATTTTAACGATTAACATCAAAAGTAGGATTTTCTGGTTAATGTCGAAAACAATAAAAACGGAATAAAATCGAAAACTCTTTTTAATCGTTAAAAATTCTTTTTAATGATTAACATCAAAAATATGATTTTATGATAACACTTTTTTTTATAAAAAACTAGTACTAGGAGAAAATCTTAAGAAATTTTTAATACTAAGTCACTTTTCAAAAAGAAACTTATTTAAGAGTTCGATGAATATTTTTTAACTTTTCACCCTAATATCGCATCAACTTTACACAAAGTTAGCATTACCTACAATGGAGGCCAGCAGTTTAAATGAACAGTAAATTTGCACGCCCAATAAACAATTTAATTGAAATTAAAACTTAAAATTTAAGAAACTTTTAAGAAACTCAATATTCCAAAATGTCGTTAGAGAACTTATCAAAAAATTATAATGAAACTAAAGGAGAAAGAAAAAAATCAAATGCGTTTTGGTCTGGTGATTTTGGATACACAAAAGATAAACTTTATAAAGACAAACTGCATCTTAAGTGTCGTTTTTTTACAAGAATGAACTGCAAGCGCAGAGCTTTTATTCATGAAGATAAACTTCAGGTTACAACTGTTCACAGTTGCAGTTCAAGAAAAACAGACTTTGAAGTGCTGTTTGCTAAAAGTGCCATGAAGAAAAAAACAGAAGCAAAATCTGAAGACCTGCGCTCAATTTTTCAAAACACTATCAGTGAACTTCCTGCAGTTGTTTCTGGATCTGTTAGTTTTCGTCAAATTATCCCAAGTCTTCAGAAAAGGCTAAATGGGCCTTCGAACCCAAAATCACCAAATGAAGCTGCTGAAGTTCTGAACGACAAAGAATGTCAACGTTATGGAGAAATTTTCTTGGGATCAGTAGCAGAACAGGATAACGTAGCATTGCTGTTTGGGCATATGCTAGTCATTAACAAGACGAAATTGGCTAAAGTGTATTTTGTTGATGGAACATTTAGGTATTTATACGTATGCATTTAACTTTTTCAAAAAAATATATGTTCTAGAAGAACATATATATATCTAGGGGGCTGTCTATTAATTACATTAACAAACTTTTAGCAATTTTTACATTACCTCTTTCCCCATGTCAACAATTTGTTAAATTTCCAGAGACACTTCTTTCCCCTAAAAAATTACGTCAATTTTTGATAACCCTCCTCCCCTAAATAAAGACGCTGCGCTAAAATGCAGCCAAATTTTTCTTTTTTTGAGTAATGAAATTAAAAAAATAAAGCAACATTGTTGATGTCAACTTTACTTGACCTCCTTCCCTCAGCCTTAGCAAAAATTATAAAAAGAATTTAGACCCCCTTCCTTATTTTTTTGACGTTATTAATGGACAGCCCGTAGACGAAAGAATTAATATATTAAAAACGTTAGGTAGAACACTTTTATTTACAGTTGTAAGTTATAGTTACATTTATTGTGCTTCCAGCATGACACCACGCATGGAGGAAAGCAAGTGGTATCAGCTCTTGATATTTTCTGTTGAGTATTCAGCAGTACTTGAAGATCCAATTCCAGATGAGGATCAGATGAATTTTGATCCTGATAACCCTCACCTTTGGGGAATATCTGTTCCAGCTGTATGCACTTTAATGACATCGAAATCCGAGGCTCTATACAAGCTTGTTTTTTCCAAAATAAAAGAAATTTTAGATTTCTCCCCATTCACCATTATGTAGGATTTTGAACGAGGACTACAGAATGCTTTAAAAACAACTTAGAGTAAAAGCTTGGTGAATGGTTGCAGGTATAAGCTATTACTTTGTTATTACTTAGTTTCCAGTTTCTAAGTTATCCAAGTTTTTCAAAGTTTGTTATCAATTAACGATCTCCTTTAAATCCTTATCTTTAGGTTTCATTTCGAAAATGCAATCACCAAGCAATTAGCAATTCTTGGTCTTCAGAGGGAATACCGCCACCAAATTCAAGTAAAGAAGTGGGCACGAAAAGTTTCAGCACTTTATCTCCTTCCTGCAAACAAAATATTGGTTGCTTGGGGATCTCGAGTTATTGAGATTGCACAATTTAGTCGGGAAATCAAAATCAAACTACTTGCTTTTTATTTTATATATTATTGCTAGGTATTTTGAGATTTATTGGCTCAATATAGTGACCCCAGAAGGATTCAGTGTTTATGGCTTGAACCACAAAACCAATAACAATGCAGAGAGTCTCAATAGACGTTTGAAATCAAACATGGGTGATCGACATAGAGGATTTTGGCGGTTTATGAAATTGCTTAACCAGCATGTAATTGTCCATACAATTCAAGAACTTCAACAGCTTGCCTGCAATCAGCCAGTCCGCCGTGACCAACGCGACTATGGTGCAATTGAAAAAATGCATTGTTTTGAGAAAAAACTTCGAGACGGAGTTTGGACAACTGAGAGATTCCTATCAACAGTATCATATCTCTTTCAAACTTCAAAGTAGTGTAAAATAATTTTCCAAGTTTTTGTATAACACTTCTTATTTATTAACCTTTATCAATTTTTTTACTAAATTAATTAGTTTAACTTTATTTGATAATCTGTTATTTTCCATGAAATATGGAAAATTGTATTTGAAGTTTCTAAATATTTTTAGTGCTTTGGATGAAAACTCAATAAACGAGGTTGGTGAGAGTCTTCCTTTGCCAACTTCTACTTCAACAGAGTCACCGAAGTGCGTTGTTTGTACCGTCAATGAACGAAATGCATTAGTAATGCCTTGCAGACATTTTTTGTTTTGTCAGCCTTGCATTCAACAAGTCCAAAAAAGCAACACAGCTCATTGTTCCACTTGCCGAGGACCAATATCATCCAAAATTGAACCTTTTCAATGATTCAGTAAAATTTTGCCTTTTACCTATATTTTAAAAACTAGAATGTCACACAATTGTTTAAATTTATTAGAAAAAATTTATAATATAAAAGCGGTATTAATTTTTTTCCTATTGCTCCGCCTGGAATAAAAAATAATCAAAAACGTAATTTTTTAGTTTACATAAACGACTTTAAATTCCATTTGGGCCTACAAGATTTTCCGTAAGTTGGCGTATTGTATTGGTTTTAGTTGAGCAAACCCCATATTATGTTAAGGATAAGTACTAAGTAAATTCCATCTCCCTCGAAACAATAGTCATTTACATGTTAAAGTTATTGTATAGATAAATGTAGCATAAAATTCTACAGCTGCTTGTCTAGAAAAATTAAATAAGTATCAACAAAGGACTTATCGTGAAGGTTGCTATGTTACGATTAGCACTTTCGTGTGCACAAGCGTGGTAGAAGCAACTTTTTGCTTTTAACTTTTTTTAACTAGGTTTTAACTTGTCTAGCTAGCTTTTAACTTGTTTAACTAAGTTAAAACTAAGAAAAAGAAAACAAGTGCTAAAACATTTTGGACCGGGATCATAACTTGTTACAGTCAGCAAAAAATATATAGAAATTAAACAAAAAACTATATCATTGGAAAGAGCTCGTCAAAAAGATGTAAAAACCATATGCTGAAAATATTTCCTTTCCAAGATATAACACCTTATAGATTATATAAAACACAGATCCAGATTTTACAGACCAGCACAAAACAGCTATAAAAAAGGTTTTTTCATCCTTAATTTGCTTTATAATAAATATGCATTTTGTTTAAAGAGTTGTTATTGATATAAATTTTCTATTAAAAGCAAGTTTCTATTAAGTTTATCACGTCCTTACTGTTGGTAGGGGTGGGGAGGGAGAGGAGATAATATATATATTTATAGAAAGTTATTGATTGTACTTTTTATAAAAAGTGCAATCAATAACCATACATAAAATAAATTATTAGAAGATTAATAAATTTACTAATCTTCATATATTTTATTCACTAATATTTTTATTCTTCAAGTTAGTCGAGTTTCCTAAAACGTCTAACAGAAGTTCAAGAGGGTCAAGGAGGCGTTTTCCCTCCCCCTCTATCAGCATTTGTAGTATAGACATTTTTTTTTTTACAAAGTAGGTTTTTAGTAGTTCTTTTTGGAATTTAATGTTTTGCTTTCATAAAATATTTAGTTAACATTTAACGCAGTGGGCCTAAAATCATTTTGTTAAAAAATCACTAAAGGGCAAATGTTTTCAAGCATTTAAACAAAGGCGATCTTTTTTATTATTTTCCAAAAGATGTCATTAATATTTAAGATACAACACGTTATCTATGACAAAAACACCCTTGTTGTTGCAGATGATAAACAACATTATTTATAACTGCGTCACTTGGATTTGATTTACAATTTAAGCGGATAAAGAAGCCTGAAAATAAGTAAAGTTTGAACTGTACTTTATGAAATGCACCACCACTTTTGTGAAATATTATGTTCATAGTTTTGTCATTAACATGAATTTGTGAGTTTTATCATACTTCTCTTTAACGCGTTGCAACGCATAAAATCAAAATATGATAAGTTCAGGTATAATGTGACTCTTCGTTCACATTTCCATGTTAACGACAAAACTATTTGCATGATATTTCATAAAATTGGTGGTGTACTTCATAAAATAGAGTTCAAAATTTACTTATTTAGGGTTTGAGCCATTACTGAAAATTTTTCAGAATTTTTTTTGCTCATTGTACCAAGTTTAACGTCATGGCTTCCTGCCCTAAATGTGAAAAATGTTTCTTCTTAGATTTTTACATATTTTATTGATATTTATAAATGTAAATGAACCTTTACTCTGACAGTTTGAAAAAGGTCTTTTTCTTTAACTTGAGTTAATTTTTGTAGTTTTAACAGAGCTTTTTTTACTCTTGGCCCAATTTGCCCCAAAATGGGAAAACGGGCTTTGTGTATTTTTACATTTTTACCTTATTGTCCTGAATGGGCGATTGGGCCAAGAACACTCAAAGTTCTGTAGAAGAAATTAGACCTAATATTTTTATCTATTTTCTTGTTATTTATAAACGTTAATGAATTTGTTTATCCTGACCGTAAAAACTCTATTTCTTAATCTAAAGTTAATTTTTACGGTTTTAACAAAGCTTTAATAGCTTTTGATCCAATTGCCCCAAATGGGTAAACAAGGAGTGGAATTCTTACCTAGGGGCCCCTAATATGAGAATGATAATTTGTAGAATTGAATGCTTTAGTAAAAAAGAAAACAATAAAAATAATTCAGCATAAGTACTTCAATGAAGTTCCTTCTTGATAGCATATGAAAAATAAATTTATTATCAAAATTTAGCGCCATAAATCCTTAAAAAAAACTCAACAAATCTTGATGCGAATTGTTTTTATTTTGAATTGTTTTATAAATAGCCAACAACATTCAATATTTTTTATTCTACTAATAGAGCTTTTTTTTATATTGTATAAATTATACAATTATACAGTGTAATTACTACACTTTAATTAAAAACCGCAAAAAACTTCACCTTTTCGATATTATTCTGAAAAGTCCTTTTTCGATTTTATTCCTTTTTTCACAGTTTCGATATAATTCCGGAAAGTCCCGTTTTCCTTTTTTTACAATTTCGACCTAATTCTGTTTTTTGAAATTTCGATATTATTTCTTTTTTAACACTTTTGATATTGTTCCGAAAAGTCCCTTTTCGATATTATTCCTTTTTTCTTAATTTCGAGATTATTCTATTTTTTGGATTTTCGATACAATTCCTTTTTTACAATTTCGATGTTATTCTGGAAGTATATATATATATATATATATATATATATATATATATATATATATATATATACATATATATATATATATATATATATATATATATATATATATATATATATATATATATATATATATATATATATATATATATATATATATATATATATATATATATATATAATAAGAAACAAAAAAACCAAAAACCTTCGTCAACAACCATTTTATAATAACATTGTGTCATTTATAATAACTCTATAATTTTCATCCTATAAAGTCTTTTTGAAAAAATCTGTCACATTAGTATCGGAATGAGCATCAATGTTACTAAAGATTACAGGGCCGACGACACCAGAGAGCACCTCCTCCCCCTTTTTTTTCTAATAGACCCTTTTTTTTTAAATAAAAAATTTTCTAGATATAGAAGACTTTTTTGAAAATTGACAATTATGCCTCCCCCCCCCCCCATTTCGAAAACTGTGTTGTAGGCCCTGGATTACAAAACAAAAAAAGACATCTTCAAATTTTTTGTAAATCCGTATTGAAAAGATATAATATATAATATTATTATTGATACCAGATGTTGATGCTACTAAAGATTAAAATTTATATTCAAACTGAAACTATATAATATATGAGGGGCTCAGTGGAAAATGTACCAAAGCCTCAATTACTTTATTTTTAATAAACTGGAAAAACTTTAAGGATCGTTTAAATTATAACAGGAAAAAGTGTGATTATCATAAGGATGGTATTTATTACAAAGATAGGTGAAAAAAATTAGGACACGATACTACTCTGTTTTGCAATAAGTAAAAAATTAGGCATTTTTGGCTCTTCAAATTTTTAAAACTATTGTTAATAGAATTGATTAGGCTAAACAGATATTTCGTCTATGACTTATTAATGATTTTTCTACATTTGTAACAAAGGGCGGATCCACAGGGGAGGGGGTAATGGGGGGCGATTGCCACCATTGATTAAAACAGTGTAATTATTATTATAAAACTAATATTATAAAAAAAATAACTAAAAAAGTTTTATAATTTAAACCTGCAAATTGTCCCTACTTTATTAGAGTCTGGATCCACCAAATCAAAAAATCCCCCTCATCCTCTTTCCTTTTAGCATTTCTTTTGTGAGTTTTCTACCATTGGGGTACAATAACTCAAGTTCAACATTGATAGTACTAGATGGCAGTGCACGATTTCAGATTGATACGTCCAACAAAATAAATGTGTCATTTCCAAAATGCTTTTGCTTCATTTGAAATAAAAGTGGTGATCCTTTTTTCATTTTTATCCAGTATGCCTTTAGCCATGAAACCTTTTGACGATTTACTAATTTCTATTAGTTATTTATATGAGGTCTATTCAATGACCCGGAACAAATAATTAGTCTTTGATTTTTTTGGTTTTTTCAATTATAGCAAAATTCCGGTAACAGGAGGAAAAATTATGCTCTGATACAAAAAAAAAAGTTGTGTTAAATGTTTATATTGTAACATATATTGTATACTGGAAGAGATATTTTTCTATTACAATTTTTTCTACCGCAACTATCGCTATACAATATTAAATGGGTCACAGTTTCTGGTATGTGTGCAAAAACATGCTCTAGGATAAACGAACCTATCTCTTGAGTACCTCTGGATTCTTGTTCCTTACTCCATACATAGATAAAAACTGTCTTCAAGTTTTCAAGACGAAAATCAATACCCATTTGTTTGGATTTGTATGTGCATCCACTGTATCTTCTTCCATTTTTTCTGTTTTCTTTTTAGCCATGCCTTGATGAATAGTAAGTCCTTTTCTTCACCCTCTAAAAGATACTTCAATTTGTTGTTAAATAAAAAAAAATCATATATTTGACATGTAATTGTGGATGGTCAAAATTTAAATTGATTTTAGATTGATTATGTATCGAAAAATAAAATTAAAAGTGAGACCATTTTCATTGCAATTAAAAATATTTCTCGTAAATCGTTGATATTCATAAAGTTGGAGGCAGAAAACTTTGTACTGGTGGTTGATTCGGCTATAATGGGATTGGCACGTTGAAAATAAGCTAATAAAGCTA